TGTGCAGTGGGTACTTGGGAGAAATGGCCACTAATAGTGATTGATTATGGGCTTTGGCTCAGTATGGCTATTGTTGTTATTGCTGTTGTTATTGTTGTTGTTATTGTTGTTGTTGTTGCTGTTGTTATCGTTGTTGTTATTATTATTATTATTGTTGTTGTTGTTGTTGTTGTTGTTGTTGTTGCTGCTGTTGTGGGATATCAAGATCTTTGGTTCTCCAGTCATACCCGTTTGTTGTCCTAGCCGCCGAGACAGAGAGTTCTATAAAAGGGGCTCCATTTTGTTAGGTCTAGTCTGTAGACTATTGAAGATTTCTTGAAAGGAAAACAAATCAAATAAGACAGTGCTTGAAGATGGCCACGTGGGCCGCTCGTTAATGAAAACAATCAGGAAGCGACAAATGCAGGTTTCTGGGACACTTGGATAGACATAAGGACCTTGAACATCTAACTCTCATTAAGAGGGCAACCCAGGCAGGGGTGGACAAAGAGCAACCTACCTGGAGAGCCTAAACAGATGGGTGATTGGGGAAGATCAGGGTAATGCAGGTTTTTTTTTGTGAGCACCCAAGCAAAGAAATGGATGGAGGACCATGATCGCCGATGTCTGTCACAGATCTGGTTCTTGATGATGAGTCTGTCGATTTGAGAGAGAGTCAGAAACACCGACAGAACTCAGCTGTACTCATTAAATGTGGTCTGACTGTGGAGACAGAGAGTTCTTCTAGAACAGCTGCCAGACGTCGGGTTTTTGTTGTTGTTGAGATCTGGTCCTACTGTTTCAAAGTGGGCTGTTCAGGTCCAACTGGCTGAGAGCTCAAGTTGTGTTTCAGGAAGTGGAGGTTCCATGCCCCTGTGGACAAATATTATGATGGCTTACTTGTCTGTATAAATTTGTAAGCTTTTTCCTCACGGTCACCTATCTATTTTGCCTCGAATGAACCCAGAAATAGCAAACCAACCCCCCCCTCAAAAACAAATAAACAAACAAAGGTCTGACCTTTGCCCCCGCTCCTTGTTCTGGGGTGGGTGGTTGGCGGGTGCTCTGGTGTTGTTATTCTACCTTTCCTGTCCATTTATTGTCCTTGTCTTTCCTCTTCCTTATGTTTGTAGGTTTTTCTCTCACAACACCTCCAATCTTTGTGACAATAATATGTGTTGCCAGTGCCGTAAAACTGTGTATAACACCAAACTGTAACTGTGGGTAGTTGGCGGGTGCTCTGGTCTGGTTTGCTCCTTCTTTCCTATCAAACATTTATCGTTCTGATCTCTCCTTCTTCTTTTTTTTAATGTTTGTTACGCTCTTGTAACACCTCTAATCTTCGGCACCTATATGACCTCATTGTGTTGCTAGTGCCGTAAAACCCCTACTAAAACTAAAACGCTTCTTCTTTCTTTATATTTGTTACTCTCTTGTAACACCTTTAATCTTCAGAACTTATATAACCTTATTGTATTGCTAGTGCCGTAAAACTCCTACTAAAACTAAAAAAACACAAAAACAACTGTACCTGTCCTGTTTCAGTGAGAAGAGAGACGACTTCTGGTTGGACGAGCTGGTATGGGCGGACCCGGACGGCTTGTTTAGTCCAACCAGCGGGATCACACCCATGGACCTGGCCACGCCTCTCCGCGCGGGGGGCGGGGCTTCGGCCGGGAAGGCGGAGCCTGTCAGTGCCTGTGACAGGGCGCGCAGGCTGAAGCCCAGGCCTCCGCGCCCAGACGAGCTGCCCTGGAACATCCTGGTGGTCTGCAGTGGTCAGTATTGTTGACGTCTGTCTGTCTGTCTCTCTGTTGCTGCGTCCACTCGACTAGATCTAGAGCAAGACGGACGTTACATTCGGAGGTTCCGACTCTCAGATAAGGGACTGTTCACAAATGGCGTCAGTTCAGAGTGGTTTTTGCTTTTCTTAGTTCTAGTTAGACTTCTACGCCACTTGCAACACAATTAGGTCACATGAATGCCGAGGACTAGATGTTTTTTACTTGAGAGTAACACACACAAAGAAAAGAAGGAGGAGAGATAAGGACGATAGATGTTTGATAGGAAGGAGAGAAGCAAACCACGCGAGAGCACCCGCCAACTGTCCACTTCCTGACACTCACGGTGGTACAACACAAAGATCAATAAAGTCGTCATGGGTTGCCAAGGAAATTCCACTCAGAATTCTGTGGTATGGTAGTCTCCAGCAATCACCCGCTCACTGTGATAATCACCCGCTTACTTTCTCCGGCAGTTTTTTTCCCAGATATACAAGTACAAGTAAATCACCGTGTGGATTGCTACAGAGTGTGCTGTGGGGAAAGACACTTTACACGAATTTTCCTCATTTCACCCAGGTGGGAATGGGTTCCCAGCCATAGACAGCGAAAGATCTTGTCCGTATGTTAGTGTTTTAGCGCCTATAAATGGTTGCTTACTCTGTATGCTTCCCAGAAACTTGAAGTTGTTTCAGAATGCTCTCAGGTCTGCTGGGGTAATAGTATAGAATGTGAAGCACGTAGATTTTGCTGTTGAGCGCGGATTTGCGCTATACAAATGCTCTCTATTATTAATCTGTCGTCTGTCTATTCTATAGTGTCACGTCTGATGACATCACTGTTGTGTGGGTGTGGTCACAGCCGGGGATAACAACAGAGAACTGTGATCAGTAGTTCTGTCTCTGTGACATCCTCGATGGGTTCTATCTATCGTATCTCCCAGCTCTGTGACCAGTAGTTCTATCTGTCATATATCTCTGGTCTGTGGCCAATAGTTCTGTCTATGTGACATCCTCTGTGTGACATCCTCGGTTCGTTCTGTCTGTCGTATCTCCCAGCTCTGTGACCAGTAGTTCTGTCTATGTGACATCCTCAGTGGGTCCTATCTGTCGTATCTCCCAGCTCTGTGACCAGTAGTTCTGTCTGGGTGAGGGTTGATGGGTGTGTGCTGTGTGTGTGTGTGAGGG